GAATGCCGCAACACGGCTCGGGGAAATGGAGGGATGAGAAGAGAGAGAGAGGTGGAGAGAGAAAGAGAGAAAAAGGGAGTAGGGAGGGAGAGAGAGAGAGAGAGGGCAGGTCAGTGGCTTGTCGACATCCTTCCGGGACCAAAGCCTCAAACTGATGGGGAGAAAGACCGAGAGAGGGGGAGGGAGAGGACAAAAGTAAAGGCTAGAAAAGGAGCTTCTTTTTTTTTCTGTGGGGCCACTTTTATTAATATCCATTTTCTTTCAAATCAGCCTCTCTTCAAGGAATAAAAAGAGCATACAAGTTCTTATACCCCATTTCCTTTAGAGCTCAAAGGATTCAATAAGTAGTATGTACTAAGAATAGATTTTTAGAGTCTAAGTGCTCTCATAGACTAAAACTACTCTCGTATTTGTTGACACAAAAATTACAAGAAAACACAAGAAAAGACATTCTCTTTTTGTCGTGGCACGGTCAAGTTAAACCTAAGAACAAACTCTGACAGGTTTTCAGCATCAAGCTTTTGCTCCCTCTGAAAAACCTCTTAGAGCTGTGAAACCTCTTAGATAATATTTTCCATCCATCCATCCATGAAATCTGCCTCTTACGTTCGAAAGCATGACTGTACTCATGTAATAATGTACAGTGCTTGTAGGCCTATGTCTGTCTATAAAATTCATATCAGTTCAGGTTGTAGATTAAATGTGATGTACAGTATACTCCTACAGATGTAATGGCCTAATAGAGTCAGCCATTTGTAACCGTCATTGTGCCCCAGGGTGGGATTTCAGACTCTTTCAGCGCAGTACAGTCTACACACATCTTTTCATCGCACATTCCTCTGTAATGTATACTGTATTTTTTTGTCATCAGCTCACTTTCCTCTCTTCAACTCACTCATCATCCCTTACTTCTCCTGTCAGAGCAAGAGGGAGACGCAGACAAGCGCTGATTGTATCGATGTTGTCTCTCTTCTTCATTTATCGCTCTCTTTTTTCTCTTCCTCTCCAAATCCTCTCCATCCTCTCTGTGTGTTCTCCCCCATGACTTTCCTCTACAGCAGTGCGTTGCCTTGGTAATTACCAGTTGTCTTAAACAGACAGATGGAATAAGAGAGAGTGACGGGCAATTTTCCCAGTGCCTGTTTTCCCCGTGTATGCATGAAAACTCCTTTTTTGCGCGTCTCTTCTGTATGCATACTTCCTTGCCATCTCTTCCACTGTCTCTTTCCTCACGCCCCTTCTCCCTGTGAGTTTGCATTTGTGCACAGCTTGTGTGTGTTTGTGTGAGAGTGAGTGTGTTAAATGTGGTTAAAGATGCTATTTTTGTCTTTTTCCCTGCATATTTCAATGTTCTTGTTTCAAGTTTGTTGCAGTATGGTGTGTCTATAACTGTACTATGGAGTAGTTGCTATTTGCAATTTTTTTTTTATTCAGTTTTACAAAATAATAGCTAACTTACAAAGGCTTCCATTAGTTTATCATATCATGTCATATTTTTTAAATCTAGACATATCAGTCTGCTGAAATACCTCGATCCAAGAATACTTGAATCTACATTACACTTCCATGGAGAAATATGTCTGACGTTCACAACCTTGGAAACTATATTTATACAGAAAATGAATAGATATCCAAACTGCCTCTTACAGTCCTCTGAAGTCACCAAGCTCTGTAGTTAAGGAGTCCTAGCAGAAATGTCCTATTCACTTACACTGCATCACTATAAATAGTATGTTCTTACTCTCCATAGTTTGTGCTTGAGTTCAGCCAATGGAGCTGAGTAGAAGCTGTGCGAACAGCTTTGACTTGATACAGGTATACTGTACAGTCACATGATGTCGCTCTACCTGTGAGTAGTATAAAGCCATTTGAGGAAAGAGATCTCACCTTCCCCATATATTCTCTGACCTTCTTTCCTCGTCTACCGTCATTTTGTTGAAGGTAAGCACTAAAACACATTGTCATTCTCCTTATCCCTCCCTTTCTCCCTATACCACCCCCCTCTTCCCCTCTGCCTACCATCCCACTCTCCCTTATTGTGGTTTTTGCGCAAGAAGGCAGAAAATCTGCTTACCCTACACACAGGGATGTTTGCCAGTCTCACACAAAGTTCAAACTGCTTGGGAAAGCACAGCTTTACCTGCGCCATCAACAGCAAACCTGTGTGTGTGTGTGTGTGTGTGTGTGTTTGTGCGTGAGTGTGTATATACTGTATGTGCATGCATATTCTCTCCCATGACTCAGTGTCTATGTGTGTGTACAGTAAACAATACCTGTACATGTTTGTGTGTGTGTGTGTGTGTGGCTCTGCCTCTGTGTGAATACAAGGGCAGGTTTATTCTGCCTTGAGGGCAAACACCTTCATGTGGGATCAAGACGATGGACTATGTAGTAAAACACGTTTTACTGAAGATCAGATTTGTTAATTGAGAGTTCAGCACAGTTAATTTCCTTTTGGAACACAGTATGGAGTTCCATAAAGTAGTGCTAAGTCATCTTACATGCCTCTTTTATTCTCTTGTAATGCAGTGAGTGTATTTTTCTTTGTTTCACATGCTTTACATCTGTGTCTTTTCTGTCAAATTGACACATCAGGCAACAAATTTCAACCAGTACATGTCGGGGACAGCACTATGGCCTCGTATCCGCACAGACACAACAGAGAGGAATAGAAAATACCAAAGTGGTACCCAGAAAAGTTGCAAATAGACAAACAACAGCAGAATTTACTGCCAAGCTTCCTAAAATAATATCAATGTGTAGAACAGCCAATCCCTCGAGCAGCGGAGATCGTATTCTGTCATTGTTAGCAGTGGGAATCCTGCACATCAGCACATCGGCGATGGCGACTACCCAGGACGGCTCCCATGTACCTGGTGGTCCCGGTATCAGCACCTCGGACAGCGGCTGTGAAACACACCATGTTATAAATGATCCACCGGAGCTGAACAGGAGGGTGATATAGACTGATTTATTGATAGTATTGAACCCTCATCACAGCAGAACATCCTGTTATTTTGGATCAGTGTTGAGTTCACTGCAGCCTTGTTTCAGACAGGCTAAGTCACAGTAACCTGAGTCTGTGCTGACCATGGTGCATGTATGGTCTGTATGATGGGAAAAGTAGTCAGGCATTTGAATACTTTTTAGTTCAGCAGCGAGAAATGTACTTCCAGCTGAATATTCAGTTTTGCTGGTTAAATAGTGATCATGTGTGGTGAGTTTCAGAATCCTAAAAAAAGTGCTCCCCCTCTGGTTGACAGCAGACAAGCAGGGATAGCTCTAAATCCAGGAATACTAAATACCTGAATTACATCCTTTAATACGTGTACGGTTAGATAGGCTAATCCACAGCAGCACTGTCCACTGGTTTAGAGCCTGGTTCTGTCAGCAGTATGCAGCTTGCTGGCTGGACAATAATAGACTACATATCATGCTGACAGTATCATTCAGAAGACTATTTCTGGGCATTAGAGGTTATATGTTTCTGTTTTGAGAGACACCACACACACACACACACACACACAGAAAGAAACACCAGTGAGCTACCATCAGTCTTCAGTAACCATTTTGACACCTGGGCTCTTGGCTGACTGCTATTTTGCGTCACACACAAGGGCATTTTGGTCTCTTTTGGCCCGTTTTGGACACTGTCACATCACAGAAATACACACACACTCTCACACACTGACACTTCCATGCATGTATCACAATGTCATCCTTAAAGACCTGAAATAGAAATGTTGCAGCAGCAGCTGCTGACCAGGTGTCACATGGTTGGAGAACACGCACTGAAATAGACACCAAATGTGATTTACCATCATTTAGCTTTACATCTCTCGCCACGTGTAATGGACCAGTAACCACAATATATTGCAAAAGTAAAGAACCTTATCCCTGTTTCCTTCCCCAACCCCTGAGGATGAGCCACTCCACTGTGGCCATAAATCAACACACCAGGAGCATGAGCTGGGTTTAAAAGGAGCCGGTTAGGTGACATACTTGCCTGCCACCGTGATTTTAAATTAGCTTTGTTTCCACTGCAGGATTTTTTTTCCCAGAATGCCTGAACTTTTTCCTACAATTAGGGAACTTTTGTTTGCCTCAGCTCTTACCTCCAAATAGGTAAACGTCTGTGAGACAGTGTTGATAGTTTTTGATTGGTCACAGCCCATGAAGGTGGAGTCGGAGTACTGAGCAGCAAGACATTAAAACAAAACAGTTTAATCTTAGTTCAGACCTTTGACAATCTCTAGGTCAGGTCACAATCTGCCGCCACATGTTTATTGTCCTGCAGATTGGCTGGATGTTGATGAAAAAATGTTCATTCAAGTGAGTGTGTGTGTGTCCGACAGTTATTCCAGAGTCACTGCTCACCGGACCAGTGGTTTGCCACTAACACATCTATTTGTTTTTCTTACTCCATTTCACCTTGACATGGACGTCAGGCGTGTTTGTGTGTGTGTGTATGTG